ACAGGTGGTGGTATGAACTATAAACCCTCAAAAATTTTCTTTCCCTGACACCATACATTCTCAGAGTGATATCAAGTGGGGGGTTTGCGTGTGTGAAAGTTGGTTCTGGGGGAAAAAGAGGAAGAAATTTCATTTTAATGAATAAATCACAAAATATATGAATGGATATACAGTTTAAATTTTATTTATTTATTTATTTGAGAGAGAGAGAGAGAGAGAGAGTGTGTGTGTGTGTGTGTGGCCAGCTCAGCCCACCAGGGGGCAGGGCTGGCTGGCATGTGGTGCTGGGGGATTGAACCGCGGTCCCTGATGCTTTTGCTAAGCTTGTTCTAAGTAGGTGCTTTAGACCACTGAGCCATCTCTCCAGCCCGGATATACAGTTTAGTTGTGACATTACAATTTCAATGGGACAGTATGGGGGAAAAGGTCTATTCCTTAAAGGCTTCAATGTTGAAATGAGGTTTGATAAATAATGTTCTACACATGGTTGACCTTTTACAGAATAAGGGTATTTGTGCTAAGAGGTTGGGAAAAGAATCATAGTATGGGGCTGGGGAGATAGCTTGGTAGTCTGCTGGCAAGTTCAAGACCCGGTTTCGATCCCCAGTACTGCATGTTGTACCAGCCCTGGACATAGCTGTGCCCACCTAAAACTGGGTGTGGAGGCGCATGCCTGTAATCACAACGCTAAGGAGGTTGAGACAGGAAGATCACTATGAGTCCAAGCTGTGGAGACCCTGTACCAAATAAACAAATCGGGGGGAAGGGGGGAATCATAGTATGTGGCATGGCAACAAGACAGTACACACTTGCATAAGACCCACTTAAGAAAAGGCTCTATTAAAAGGCTGCATTAGGCAGCCATGGTGGTACAAACCTGTTATCCAGTGGTTGGGAGGTTGAGGCAGGAGGATTGCCATGAGTTTGAGGCCAGCCTGAGCTACATAGCAAGACCATATCAAAAACAAAAAAGGGCTGGACTATTTCTCTCACAAATGTTCAGTTTATCTTGGAATAATATGTGAGTTGCATTATCTTCTCTAAAATGTTTATCAAATTTTCTGCAACCTTAAGTTCAAATTTTAGATTAGATTTAATGTATTTTGCTTTATTTTTGTCCAAGAAGTTTCAAAATCATGTAGGAAATAGTTGAAAACTTCCATGTTCACTGTCACATATATGATTAATCAGTTACATGCCTACAAAAAAGCTTAACATTATTAAGTACCTGACTAACCAATTCTCAATTCAGTAATAGGTAAAATCCTAGCTATATCAACATTAAATTTTAAGAACTCGTATGAGAAAAGTTTGCTTTTTGTAAAGGAAAGATTAAAAAAGAGCCCAAGCCAGATCCAGCAGTGCATACCTGTAATACCAGCATTTTGAGTCAGGCCACGACAACTTAGTATCTCTAACATAAAAGTAGGCTGAGGATGTAGTTCAGGGGTACAATAGCCCTGAGCTCAATTCCCAGTACAGCAGGGGGTTGGGATGAAAGCCTAAATATAATCCCTTGTGTGAAAATATGTCTTTCACATGTTTTTAATGTCTTTGAAAAATATAATTTTTGAAGGACTTAATTTTCAGTGCGTTATGTTACTAGTTCTCCAAATACTAGAGAAGGTATCAATCTATAAATGTTATGATGTACAAGGGCCCAGAAGATAGATATACAAATAACTGCATACCAAGCAAAAGTTGCAAGATGACAGGACAGACCTACTGTACGGGCAGACGGGTTGAGAAATTACTAACAGGCTCAGGGGAAATTATGAAATGCTGCAAGGTTCAGGTGAGTCCTAAAGGAGCGCTGGGAATCCCAGTGATGCTGATGAAAGTGTATATATAGAGTTCATTTGGAGAATATGTTGAATTTGGACGTGGCACAAGAATAGCTGGAGATACAACAGAAAAAAAATAAAGATTTCTAAAGGTTGTGAAGGCCAGCAATGAGTAGAAGTATTACTAAGTAGAGAATATCATCACCAGTTACTCTTTTACATCTGTTTAATAAACATCTGTATCTGTGATATAAAAGGTGACTAGACCCAGTGGCTCTTGACTACTGGGAAGGCGTGTGTGCCAGTTTCCATCCTGTTTGCTCTCATTCTTCATTCTTCTCCTGCTCTCTAATGTATGACAGGAAGTCTCAACTTCAAACAGGTTAAGATGTCCCACCCTCCCACACCAGCCAGCTTCTGGCTGGATTTGCTAAATGGGCAGCACTGAAAGGACACTGGTGGGCAGCTGTAAGATGCCCTGATTTCTACTCCAGTTTTGATAGACTTCCTGTAATTACAACTCCCTTATCAGACAAGTTTACCTTCATCTCCTACAGTTGCTTCTCAGTTGCTTTATCTTTCCCTGTGCTCCTGATTAGTTCCGCGGCTTCTTACTGTGCTCACCTCTAAACCAACTCATTGTGAGCTGTTCTGGCTTCTTAACTTTTCTATCACTGTAACCAATTCCCTCATTAAACACACTGATTTCTGCTTGCTCTTAATGGATGCTGACTCATTTAGAGAGTAACAAATCTATTTAAGAAATTGATGCAAATTGTGGATCACTCACCCACATGCACATAAATTTTTACAGATAGTTTTGAAGGCTCCCAGAACTCTTGGAGCTTGAACATTAATTCAAGAATAAGAATAGTAAGTAAGACAAAGATAAGTTTCAGTTTGGGGAAAAAGTTTTACAGGTAAACGGTGATGGCTGTAATACTTCTGCCACAGAATATATTTAGAAATGGCAAATTCTGTTATGAATAGCTCCCTGCCTCAAAGGAAACCCAACTATAACCAAGAAATTGGATAAATTACTAAATTACTGGAAGACATTTCAGAGATGGCTTGATTTTAATTTGTAACACAAATGTACTGTATCAGGGAGATAAGGAGAGGCAGAATACATGCTAATATTTGAAGAAAATAAGCAGTTTGGAATGTCTGCAGCATAGGGCAAATGTTAAGATGATGTGATCAAGGAGGAGAAGCAAGACAGACAGTTCCATAAGCACCTTCTAGGTCATACTGATCAAAACAAAAATGGTGGCCCAGAGACAGTGAACAACACTTTGATGTATTTTAGCTCATACAATATTTTTCAATATGCCAGCAACAGTTTGCTACAGTTGAATAGCAAAAACAGTTCTTTAAATGTGGTCAGAGGGCAGGATTCTGACGAATAAGAGGAAGGTTAAGCAGTACAAACAATTCTAAAATTCTTTCATGAATAACTGACTTGTGAAAGGGTGACATATGGCATTAGAGGGATATAGGATTTAGAAAGGTGATTCTGCGGACATATGTTTTAAGGGCTTAAAACCTAATCAATGAACAGTAACTGGAGAAACTGTGTTTCGAACCTACTAGGCACCAGAAGAAAGTTATGAAAACAAAGGTTCAATGAGAGAGAGGCTGAAGATGGTAAGGGATACGACAGGAGAAAAATCAGCAAATAATGTAATTATAGGATAAATACAATGCATATATGAAAAGTACAAAATCTAAAGGACAAATTCAACAGTGAGTGCCATTTGACTTGCTTTAATCTGTGTGTGCATGTGTGTGTGTGGGGGGGAGCTGAATCCAGAACCTCACACATACCGTATTAGCCAAGTGTTCTATAAATGAGTTACATCCCCACCTAATGGACACAGGTCAGGGATGTTGTCAAACATCTCACAAAATTTGAGCACAGGACAATCTGCCCTAATAAACAATTACTCCAGAGTGTCAAAAGTGATGATGTTCAGACATCATTCCTAAAACTATGATGATTGAAACTCAATTGGGTCATCTGTTAAAGTCCGTTAGAAATAATTTAGAGGACAAAAATAAGGGATGTCAGTTATATCGTAAAAGTTTACTTTTCACTCACTTACACATAAACCTAATACATACATCTATTACTATACAGCCAGCTTTTTAATCATAGATAAAGATTTAGGAGGACTACACAAAGGGGTAAAAGAGTCAACCATAAAATATTAGTTCAGCTTTTAGTCATTAATTTCTCTACAAATGATTTGACGAATCTACTTTTTTCTTTTTTGCAAAAATGTGTCTATCAAGAATCCTACACAAATACAAAGTTATTTTGGGCAGTGCTGGGTGTTTTAAAGTCACAAAACAAACGAATATTTCGAACAATGAAAGAAAGGTATTAATGGTTGTAGAAAAATACCACGGGCGGGTTCATCACAGATGTTTACCATTTACTTTTAAATGTCTCATGATATTTGTAAGTCACTGGTTTGAGTTTTACGCCGCTCTCATTCGGAGCAGTACAATCCTTTTTATTTTTTCGGGACCAAAACAATAACAAAAACTATCTCCTACACAGATAACACACAGTGGCCAACGAACTTTCTTCGAATGGAGGAAAAACTAACTGGGGTTGGAAAATGTGTAACTAGAAGGCACTCTGCCTGAGACTTTTTTATTCCTTAAAGGAATTGGAATTGACTGCTTTTACAAAATATGCAACTGGCATTTCACACCTCTGCACTGGGCGACGTACGGCAGACTGTGAGAAAGCAGCCGTCCCAAATTCGTCGTTCTAAGCCCGGCTCCGGAGAAGGGCGTCAGGACGGTCTTTCTACAAAGCCGGGCGGCTGAGGAAGTCCTATTTTGGTGCTAGTTCTGCCAAGGGAAACTGTGAGGAACACGCAGCCCTCCGGTCACGTAGCCAACTCCTGCAGGGGTCCCGATAAGCGCGGAGGCCCGAGCGAGCACCCCCGAAGCCAGGCCCAGGTGATGGTGCAGCCCGAGCTTCTCCTCAGCCCTCCCCTCGCCACGCAGCCTGCGGCCGGCGGCAGCCGCCTACAAAGCAGCTTAAACTGTCCCGCGCCTCCGCGGGGCGAAAATCACCGCCAGCCTCAACTTGTAAGCGAGGGGGCGAACCCCAAAGCCCCTTCGTCCAGGCAAAACATTCGGGCCCAAAGGTCCTTCTTAGCCTGGCCCGGTAACCATCCCAGTCGTGTCCGCGCTTACCCAATACCAGCCGGGCCACGTCCGAGGGTAACAGCATGATCCAAGACGCAAAAGGAACCACAGTACGAGACGAAACCCGGGTACAAGCCAGCAGCGACAGCTCCTACGCCTCATCTCCTGGTTCCAGTGGCGGTACTGAACCCGCGGCAATTTGTCCCGCCTCTTTTGCCCTGCGCCAACCAATCACTTGCGCGGGAGAAAGAAAGGCGCCGAAATAAATCCCGCCTCCTTGCTCCTCGGGTCTGTCGTCACTTCCGGCCTCGGCGCCGGAGGGGTGGGCCTGGAGAGAGCCCGTAGGCCGGGCGCCGGCGCCCCAGCCCCGGGGCGAGCCGAGAACGCAGGGTCGCTCACCATTGGCGGGCAGAGCGCAGGCGCGTTTCCTCAGTCCCGGCGAATGTTTTGGGAGAGTGTTTGCCTCGGAAGGCGCGTGATATTTGTGCGCATGGGCAGAGTGCGCCGCGCCGCTAAGCCGGACTTCTTCCTCCGGAGTGGCACGCTACGCGGTCGCGCGGCGTTTGAACCGGAAGCGGGAGGGAGAGTGCGAGTAACGGGGCTGTCGCCGCTAGACGAGGCGTGGGGAGCGCGGAGCTGGGCTGCAGCTACCGCCACCTCCAGGTACCAAGTGGGTCGTCGCAATTCAGCCGCTTCTGGGAGGGAGGATTCGTGTCTACCCTGTCTCTTCTCGCCCCTGCCTGAGCGCGGCCGTGCGCCGAGGCCCTGCGAACCGAGCCCAGGGCGCTCTCAGCGCCCTGAGTTGGACCTCCCTCCTGCGCGTCCCATTTTCCTCTCACCCTAGGGCTCAGGTTTATATAGGTGACCTGACTAGGGTTTTTGTTGTTGTTGTTGTTTTTTCCTTTTCTCTTAATTGATGCTCCTTGTCTCCTGCTGTTCACTGAGATTTAACCCAGAGCCTCGAATTTAAGAGCTCGCTATGGAATCGCACCGCCAGAGTTCGAGTTCGGATTGTCAGCTGTGAAATAATTCTGCACCGTCTCCTGAGGCTTAGCTGCCACCTTTAGCCCCGAGGTACAAATGATTAGAAAGACGACAATACATCAAGGTGATACTGTCCTGTGATAAGAGTACAGTGCTGGTGGCCTGGGAGAATCCCAACAGTTAGTTTCGCAATTGCTCAGCAGGGTAGGAGCCCTCAGGCCTGAGGCTCAAAGCCCAGTACCAGAAGAAAAAAACCAAAAAAAACGGCCCGGGCAACTTTAGATTCCGTCTGAGAATTAAAGTTGTAAAGGGCTGGGGGTGTAGTTTAGTGTTATACTGCTTGACTAGCATGCACGAGGCTCCGGGTTTGGTCCCCAGTCCCACCACAAATAAATGGATAATACTAATCTCTGGAAACAGTCGTGAGGAAAGAGAATATGAGTGTTGCTAGCATTTACTATATTCTAGACCCTGTTTGTATGTTAAACATATATATGTGAGTTCTTAACAACTGTTTGAGGTAGGTAGTATTTCATTTTATCACCGAGAATCAGGTTTGGAGATATTAATTAAATTGTGGGGAGTTGTATAGTTTTTAAATGGCTGGACTAGAATTCAAACCAATACATTCTGACTACAAAGCCCACATTCTTAAACATTAGACGGGAATGGCATACTAAGGGAAGATTTAGTTTTAGGAAGATGGGGATGCAGTCACTGTCAGGTTGTGTAAGAAGATCATCTTGGGTGAAATCTCAAAAGGAACGTTGAATTTGTCAGTCTGAATTGATACCTAAACAGATTTCATGTTTGTGTGGTGTCTGTTTAACTGCTTTCTAGCCATCTTTAAGTTTCTGCAATATGTCACATTCTTTTCCACCTTATGATCTCTTGGCTGTGCTACTTACCTTCCATTGAATGTTCGTCCTCTTAAAAAAAAAATCCTTCTGCAATTTTAGGGGGACTTGGCGGTTAGCTCAGTTGTTTAAAGCACCGCTTGGACGAAAGCAGTCAGGTTCAGGGCACCACAGTTTGATCCCCAGCTCCGGAACTAGCCAAAAAAAAAAAAAAAAAAAAAAAATCCTCCAAATGTAGGTCCTCAGGCTTTTTCTGAAATGGCACCCATCTCATTCAGATCTTGACTTATTGCAACCTCCTTCAAGACCTTTCTTAACAGCTTATGTAAAATGAGTACTCTTATTTTCTATTTTTTTTTTTTTTTTGAGGCTTGAATCATACTTTGGAATTATGGATTGATTTATCAGTTTGTATGTTGTCACTCTTCTACCTAGATGTGTCTTTGTGAAAGTAGGATTTATGTCGATTTAGTTTATGTTTCATATAGCTAGCCCTAACATGGTAACTCAAACACAGTAGGTGTGAGATATGTATTGTTCACAGCTATCTGTGAAAGAACATCTCTCTCTCTCTCTCTTTTTTAGTACAGGGTCTACAGGGTCTCACTATGTAGATCTGACCCCTAGTGATCCTCTTGTTTTCAGCCTCCCAAGTGCTGGGATTACAGGAGCATCATGCCCAGTTTCAGTTACCATCTCAGGGAGCCCCAGGGGTGGGGCCGACATGGCACACTGGGGATCAGACTCCGGTCCCTGCATCTGCCTAAGCAGGCGCTTTGGGTCGCTGAGCTATCTGGCCAGCCTTTTACATCTCTATTTTTGTACATAATTCTGTTTTTCTTTTGTATTTATTTATTTAGTTTTCCTGGGAGAGAAAGTATATATTTAGAATTAGCCAGCTGGACTCAGTTTAAATGATTCCAATTTTGTTGGCAACACCCAATGCATCGTGATCGGGAGTCAGTTGAACATATGCCTTCTCCTCATCAGGCCTGATTACAATATTGACCTTGGCAACATCGGTGTCATAGAGCTTCTTCACAGCTTGTTTGATTTGGTGCTTATTGGCTTTGACACCTACAATGAACACGAGCATCTTGTCCTCTATCTTTTCATGGCTTACTCTGTGGTCAGGGGGTCTTGATGATGGCATAGGGGTCAAATTTATTTCTCCTGAGGGTGCTCTTCCGAGGGTATTTGGGCTGCCTCCTGACCCGCAGTGTCTTGGCACAGTGTCTTGGGATGGCAGAAGGTGGGTGACGTTCGTATCTTTTTGTGGCTGTGGATGCCTCTCAGCACAGCCTTCTTGGCCTTGAAAGCTTTTGCTTTGGCTTCAGCTTTGGGACGGGCAGGGGCTTCCTTCTTCCCCTTCGGTACCATCTTGGTAAAAAGGCCTATGTTTTCTTTTTAAAGTTATGTTTTGAACTGGGCATGGTGGTACAGGCTGAGGCAGAAGGATCATCAAGAATTTGAGGCCAGCCTGGGCTATGTGACAATTTTAAGGTCAGCCTGAATTGTACAGTGAGACCCTGTCTCAAAAAAACAAACAAACAAAACAAACTACAGCATGATAATACTGGTTCTGCCTATTCACTAGTGGGGGATGTCTTTCCATTTTCTTTTTTTTTTTTTTTGCCAAACCGGGGATTGAACTCAGGCCCTTGCGCTTGCGAGGGAAGCACTTATTCTGTTGAGCTATCTCCCTGGCCCCTTGTTTTTCCATTTTCTAATGGTCTCTTAAATCTCTTTGTTCAGAAAACTAGTCTTTTACCTCCTGTTTAGGTTGATTCATAGGTATTTAATATTTTTCTAGCTACCCTGCATGAGATTGTTTTCCTTATTTCTTTCTTGGTAGATTATGGGCATGTAGGTATGATTTTCATTTTTGTGTGTTCCTTTTATATCCTGCCATTGAATTTAATTTTATTAGCTTTTAAGTGTCTTCTGGTGTAGCTTTTTGGGTCTTATATATAAAGGATCATACCCACAAATAAGATCATTTGATCTTTTCCTTTCCTATTTGTACATGTTTTATGTCTTTTCTTGCCTGATAGTTCTGGTTATATTTCTCAGGTGCTATATTGAGCCAGAGTGATGAGAATGGACACCTTTGTTTTGTTCCTGATTTTAGAGGGAGTATTTTTAGTCTTTCCCCATTTAATATGTTGTTTGTGGGTTGTCATAAATGACTTTATTTATTAATTTTAATTTTTTTTTTCATAAATGACTTTAATCTGTTGGAGGTAAGATCCTTTTGTATCATTGTTCATCAGGGCTTTATCACGTATGACTGTTGGTTATTTTTGCATTTATTGATATGATCATGCAATTAAAAAAATACTTTTTGCTGTTGTTCATTTGGGGACTCATAATCATCCTCCTGTCTCAGCCTCCCTAGTGCTGAGATTATAGTCAAGCGCCACCACAACCAGTTTCTGGCTGGCGTGGAGCACCCAGCATTCCAGGGCCTGCACTGTATGCTGTCCTGGGGATCAAAATTCAGGACCTTATGCTGGCCAAGCAGGTACTTATCCTGGCAAGCCTTCTCCCCATGTGCTTTTTTGAAAATCCTTTTTGTATGCTGCTGTATTTGTGTACATATATATGTAGTCATTTTTGTATCCCTGGAATGAAACCAATTTGGTCATGATGTATGTATGCTCTTGTTAATGATTTGTTATGTTCTGTATGCTTGTACTTTGTTGAGGATCTTTGCGCCTGTGTTCATTAAAAGGACTGGTCTATAGTTTTCTTTTTTTTGTTGTTGTATCTTTGTCTGGTTTTGTTATCAAGGTATTATTCCTTTAAGGAATTTGGCAGCATTCTTTCCATTTCAGTTTTTTGGAGAGTTTCAGAAGTATGGGGTTCTTCTTTGAAGTTCTGGTAAAATTCATCGGTGAATTCACTGGGTTCTTGGCTTAGTTTATGAGAAGACTGAAAATATCATATAATTGATGGTGAAACTAGAAGAACTGGAAATCTCATACATTTCTAATGGAAACATAGAACTGTATAGGAAAACATTGAATGGGCTTTAATTAAGTTATTTAAAGTCACACTCTTCCTTGTCTTCCTATTGCAAAGAACATTGTGTGTTGGATGATTGCTTTGATACAATCTAAGAAAATGTAATTTGATATAAAAATGTTAAGAAACTTCTTTGTGCCTTTGATCCTAGTGTGCCTATGGTTGTACAGTTTGATCTAACTATGTGTCAGTGCTGCAGTGTGAAATATATATTTTCTGGAAGTATAGCTTAGTAGTAAGAGCAAATGCATATTAATGTTTGAGTCACTAGGTGTAATTTCCAGCACACACACAAAATGCATGTAATAAAATAAGGAAATTTATATGTATGTGTGTGTGTATATATTTTTTTTATTTTTATTTTTATTTTCTAGGAAAGGATTGGTGTTTTTTCCAGGAAATGCTGAATCATGAGTCTTGCACTTAGTAACCTGCTTATTTGTTGCCGACGACTGGAAAATGATAGAGCTACAGAACGAAGGGTAGTAAATTACTTAATTTTAATTTTTCCTTGGAACAAATACGTGATTAGTAACACATTAGTGTGATTATTTTTCATTTTCAGAAAGAAGTTGAAACCTTTAAGCGCCTGATTCGGGATCCTGAAACAATTCAAGATTTAGATAGGCATTCAGATTCCAAACAAGGAAAATACCTAAATTGGGACGCTGTTTTCAGGTATGCTATTCTAGCCTTTTTACTATCTGTATTTTTCTCTTTCATATTTATTTTTGTTGTGGTAATATTTTTTTAAAGCTGTCTTTGTTTTCTGTATGCCATTGTGTCTTGCATATAAAGTTGGCATCTAACAGTTATCCAAAACTTAACTGAAAATATTAAATCATTCAACAAGTTGTCTTAGACATATCTCATTGAAGATTGAAAAACAGTTCTTATGGGTTTATAATTTGCTTCAAATTAGAGAAAAGATTTAAATTATAGTAAATGTTTCTTATTTGACGTCTTTATTCTGATTATCAGTAACTGACATGTTAAATTATAGAGAACAAGTTAAAAAGTTGGGATTTTTTTTTTCAGATAAATGCAGTTAAAAAAACAAAAGACTAAGTAATGCAAAGATAAAATTGTTGGGCAGAAGTGGCAACAGGTTTGATGCATTTGCGAAATAACTAGGAAGAGATTATAAGGCTTGGGAAAGTTTAGTATTATAAACTAATGTAGACTACTGAAGGAATTAATTTTGAAACAACATTTATAGTCAAGAGGAAATAGGAATAAAAGAATTGTCTTCGAGTATGTTAAGTAGATAACTTTTTTTAGGTCTTGTTACTAGACTGACTTACAGATTCAAATACGTAGAACGTGAGAAATGTCTGTTCCTTTTTCTTTGGTTACTTTATTTTAGATACCACAAATGCAGTTACTACCTAACAATAAATAATATTTTCTAAGAGCTGATTGGCAGGCCAATTTTTTTTTTTTTTTTTGCGGAACTGGGAATTGAACTCAGATCCTTGCGTTTGCTAGTCAAGCACTTATCCTACTGAGCCATCTCCCCAGCCCCAAGCAGGCCAAATTTGTACCTGACACTCCTTGCTAGTCTGTCTTCTAGACAGGTTTCACTTAAATCATAATCACTGTTAAGTAAGGATGGTTGAGAGCCTTTAAAAGCATCATAAACTCTTGCTTTTGTGGTTTTAGAGATTGCACTCAAGGTATTTACACTGAGCTATATTCTTAGCCCTGTTTTATTATTTGATTTTGAGAGAGAATATTGCTAATTTAAGTTGCACAGGCTGGCTTGAACTGCCATCCTTCTGTCTCAGTTCGCAGCACTGTAAGCTTTTAATAATAAAATAAGCCAAATAGTAAAGTGCTAGAAGTTACATACAAGTTAGAGATTTTGCAGGTCAGACTTTATATTGTTAGACCCTGAAAAAGAGATGTAATTATTTTGTTAAACTGGTATATTGGATAACATACCGTGGTTTAAAAAGACGTATTTTGTAAACTTGATATGGTGGCTCGTGCCTGAAATTCCAACACAGGAGGCTGAGGGAGGACGATCGCCTGAAGTTCAGCGCCAGCCTGAACCATGTAAGGAGATCAAAAACCAAAAGAGGTGCATTCTGTGATAGCATGAAGGACTTTTGAAGCTAAAAAATTTAAACATTAATGAGTTTCTATTTCTTTTTTAAAAGATTTTTACAGAAATATATTCAGAAAGAAACAGAAAGTCTAAGAACTGCAAAACCAAATGTATCAGTCTCAACACAAACCTCCAGACAGAAAAAGATGCAAGAAATCAGTAGTTTGGTCAGATATTTCATCAAATGTGCAAATAAAAGTAAGCAACATCATATATTATAAATACATGATTTAATAGGTTATAGTAGTATGTTTGATATAAATTTGGATATTGTTCAGTTTACTTTTACCTCTTAGAGCGTGACGCTGAATCTTTGAGTTGCATGCTGGTTGGTATCGGTGGAGCAGAGCTTGTATGTGTTTTATTCTGTACTTTCACTAAATTAAAAGACGAGTGCTAATTTCTAGTATGTATCACTTTTTAATTTTAAAGATAATAACAATGGTACAGAATTTAAAAACAAGGTGACATGATTTTTAATAACACAGGTTCAGATATTTGGGAGAATTTATGAAAGCATAAAATGATAGAATCTCAGAATAGAAATGGTGAGTTATCATTTCAGTTCCTCATTGTTGAGTCTGTGCGGTATGGCCTTAACATAGAAATACAAGTCTCCACAACTGACTGTACCCTTTGGGGCTTTTTTTTTTTTAAACTTTTGGCACCTTTAAATAAGAATTAAAATCTTGTCTTTTTGTTGGTGCTTTTGACTTTTGATATTGTACACAAAAGTTTTTTCAAAGTAATGCCCTTTGCAATACTTGAAGGTGATCATATTTCCACTAACACCTCTTCCCTGAAGTAAACAGACAGCTTCTTTTATTTAGCTTGTATGACCAAGTTTTTGCTTCTTCCTTTTGGATATTGTTCAATTTACTTTTACCTCCTAGAGCGTGATGCTGAATCTTTGAGTTGCATGCTGGTTGGTGTAGGGTGGAGCAGAACTTGTATGTGTTTTATTCTGTACTTTCACTAAAGCTAAGGTCATGTGAACCTCCTTGACAGGCAGTACATACGCTCTTAACTAATGTTGTAAGGAAAGAAATGAAAAGATCCGATCTCTTGTGGTTGCGTGTATCTTGTACTGATGTGTCGATATATTTGAATTAAAATGCAAGATTGTAAGCTTTTGTAAGGAAATGTGCTCTATCCAGCGCTGAAAGCTAAAAGAAGCAGTTGTTGAGGAACTCAGGAGCTGGACTCTGTACAGTGGTCCGTCGCTTATCACAGAGGTCACATTCCAGACACCCCCACAAAAAGTGAAAATCAGTGAAGCAGCGATGTTATATTTTAGTATTTATATATATTAAGTCTTTATAAACTCCTCCCACACTCTTATAAATCTTTCCCACACTTTAAAAAGCACTTCTAGTGTTCTTAGACCCAGTCCTAGCCCAGGCCCGGTCACTGACCCTCTTATTCTCTGAGTGTGATACTGAGTAGAAGAAGAGGTCGTATGTGCGGGTGAATCCAAGAAAACTGCTCAGCTCCATAGAGTTTTTGTGTCTTTGGATATTGAACATTTGGAGAAGATCTAAATTTTAAAATGAAAAATATTTATCATATTAAAAAAAAGCACTTCTAGTATTCGTTACCTTTTTTTTGGTATATATATGTATTTTAGGGAAGGGTCTACAGGGTGTTCAGGGTCTCACTACTAGATCGGACTCGTACTGACCCACCTGTTCACAGCCTCCCAAGTGCTAGGATTACAGGCAAGTGCCACCATGCCCAGTCTCAATTGCTGTCTCAGTGCGCCCTGGGTTAGATCTGGCACCACAGGATTGAACCCCCAGCCCCTGCACCTGCTTGCAGGTGCTTTATCTTATTTGGTCAGCCCCTCAACCATTTTTTAAACTTGTAAACCTATGTAATTTTTTTTTTTTTTAATCGTATTTGGTACAGGGTCTTATGCAGCTCAGACTCCTATATTCAGCACCCCCAGTGCTAGTATTACAGGTGTGTGCCACCACACTGGTCTTGGTGGCCAGCCCAGCACACCTGGGGGTGGGTGCGGGGCTGATGCGGTATGTGGTGCCAGGGATTGAACCCCAGTCCCTGAACTTACCTAAGCAGGTGCTTGTTCACTGAGCTATCTCACTGGCCCTTACTTACATACACCATACATATATATGTTAATGGTCAGAGTTACATTAACCATTACGTACTGTATGGTGCAGTATGTGTTCATGCACCAATGAAATACTTACTGTAAGGTGTTTATTTATTTTTTTGGCGGGACTGGGGATTGAACTCAGGCCCTTGC